ATTGTTATCTTGATAATTTTTGATTAATTTTTACGTCAATTGATGGGATTTCAACATGACATTTTTTAAACTGGTCAGGCAAGTCCGTTCACTTTCTAGAGACCATAAACAAGTGTTGCCAGATAGGCGTAATTCGAAATTATCATTTATAGCCCATTTATAGCACGAAAATAAAAATGGTGGAGTTATTTGGAAAATGTATTTTTTTGTATTTTCCGGCGGGATTTTACAATTCGATTATTATTATTATTTTTATTTTTAAATGCAGTATGTATTAAATAAGAAAGTAAAAATGATTAGAGAATATAAATAATAAGTGTTGCCAGCCGATTATATACAAAAATGAGTTTTAGCCCAAAAATATAGAAAATGGAATAACTTCGAAATTGTATTTTTGGGCAGGAATTTAATGCTTTATATGTTAAATAAAAAAAAGGGTAAAAGTTATTATGCTGTGTACTTCAGCGCTTTGTATAGTTACGCTAGTGTTTGCGGTGTAAAAAATATTAGTAGAGAGGTTGAGGCGCACGTTTTAAACGTGTAAACGTGTACGTGTGACGTTCGGCGCCGCTTTCCCGTAAGCCTAAAAGTTTGACAATGGTGTTTGGATAGTCGGTGGAATCACGCTCGACATTCCAAACATCATCGTCAAACTTTTAGGCTTACGGGAAAGCGGCGCCGAACGTCACACGTACACGTTTACACGTTTAAAACGTGCGCCTCAACCTCTCTATTGTTGATGGCCCCAACGGTATATAACTACTAGATTCCTTGACGGTCGGATGCCGAGCGGTCAAAATGGCAGCCTACCGCTCTGCGGGACCCGGGATCGAATCCGGGCGGTTCGTTTGTATAGGTCCGGCCAAGTCCCTCACAACCCGGCCGCCCCATCGTAGGCTTGCTAAACAGGCCCTCTTAGTGCCCACAGGACGGAAAAAGTTAATTCAAAAACTACTAGACTCCGAATCAGACGTAGAAACTAGCGCCGCCGCCTTAGACTGTCATGAAGTCCAAACAGTGCATATGCCGTGGACAGATTGTTGCGTGCCGACTGCCGACTTATGGTAACTATTTCTGGAGTAAATAATTTCGCCAGAAATAATTACCATAAGTCTCGAGTGTGCGGGAATTGTGACAGGAGCATAACAGAAATACCGCCGAGTTGCCGTGCAGTTAATTGTACTGTAAGGAAGAAGGAATTACAAAAATTTGATCGCCAACCGACGATATAGTATCAGAGCAACTAGGCCTATATCTAATTTACTGGTGAAATGTGATACTGGATACTGTTTTTAGGATCTGGTATCACGTTTGCTCCGTGACAAATATCATCACACAGTTAGTAGTGCCACAAAGACCACTAAAGCAAACAACTTTGGTTAACATAAATGATGATACTCAACGAATTGATGATACTTATGATGAACGAAGTGTGCAGCATCTAGATGAAGCTCAAATGCCTAACCTACCGCATCGTATAATCAGGCCCATCGTGGTGTTTCTGTAAGAGAAATGACACCAAACTTATTCATTTTAATTAAACCACGTTCACTATTTTATATTCTCTTAGCTAGGGTCCATGCAGAGCTATACATTTACTCCCTTTTTAACTGTTTCCACCCTGCTGACACTAAGAGGAACTGTTTTATTCTAATCGTAAATTTTGGCAGGCCCACAATGGGGTGGTAAAGTAGTGCAGGCGGGATCCTAACAAGCCACCCATAAAAATTCATGGGGTCGCTCATGAGAATCGATTCCAGATCTCCAGAACGGTACACAAACGCCTTAAATCAGGAAAGATGTAAACAAATGCTGTAAAGAATTGCTCGTGGATCCATTGTCCCTTTCGTTTTAAGTGTTGCAAGTCTTATACAGTGTGATGGCCCACAACACGTGGTGACGGTCGAATGGCCTGTATGATAAAGTCAGCTGGCTACTTTGGAGGATCCGAGTTCGAGTTCAAGCAGCCTTAGAAATTATCAAGGGTTTTAACCAAATTATGTTAGGAACCTTATTTCATCACCTTATTACTCCTATTAAAGAGGTAACCGAATTTATATGCATCCTCCACAGGGATAAAGTGTAAAAGAAAAAAAAAAAAAAAAATTGTAATTTTTCCTCTCGACTATGGCGATGGTGGCGACTTCTCGTTTCGATAATCGAAGTTATAGTGTCAATCATGTAGTATGACGTTTCCCAGTAACACAGGGAAGTACTGTTACGTATATGTTTTGAACTGTTAAAGGGCAATTTAAAAAAATTTTGTTGCGATCGTACCACCAGGCGCTTTACAAATGCTAAAGTTAGCATTTTATTCGATTGTGAATCGCCATAACAGCTGTGTAGAGGATTTAACATCATTAATTTGGGATTAAATTACAAAGTTAAAGGTATTCATTTTAAATGTCATTTAAATTAATTTTTAAATGTTTTTATTGATTATAAATTTTTTAACTGGTAACTTGCACTATGTTCAATGAGATAAAGGCTATAAAATACTAATTATGGTGATGTAGAAGCATAAGAATCCATTCTTTATTCCACAGCATGGCTTCTACACCACCATAATTAGTATACTAAAGGATATAAATTACCCTGTTTATGATAATATATTACATTTTCAAACACTTTTATGTCTTGGATTTAAATGCAAGCCAAACAAGTTACAGCTTAAGGAATTCACTCAATAATTTAGTTTTTGACTGCATTTTTTAAATGTATGGCTGCGGGGCGAGGGCCTCTTACATGCTAGAGTTTAGGGCTTTGACAAGACGAATTCCAATCCTGAGTTTGTCGACTGACATTTGTATGAGAGGGGATGTCATGAATGTATTCTTAGTACTGCATCTTATGTGATATTTATTTCTAAAGATCAAAGATGCTGCAATACAGATCTACATCTTGCTATACAGCACTTTTTCTACTTGTGATGTAATAATTAATCATATGTAATCCCACAAAAGTTATTTACTTAACTGGTAATCCTCATAACATCTCAAATTGCTTCCGCAACCTTGGGTTCGATACACTTAACTGCATTCCTGGCGGTTTGTTTTCGAACCCCCAGAGTGCTGTCTCGGCCATCTGGCCGGCCATACTTAACACAAGATATGTTAAAGTAATGCCAGAAACAGATAATTTGATAAGAAAGTACAAAAATGTAGAAAATTATGTCGAAATTGTACAGTACGGGACGAGGTTGCGTACATGCTCGGCTCCGAGTACAGGCAAGCTGACTTGCAGTTTTATATATGACATAACGATGATAAGGGTCGAGGGAGATAGAGGATGAATGTGTGATAACTTTGTTAAAAATATAAAACAGTTAGTAATGATTCGAGCTTAGATCATACGGAAAAGATGTAGAAAAAGCATAAAGCAGGTGAGAAAACGGACTGCAAGCTGTTACGCTTCTTGTAGTTTGTGATGTTTATATTTGTATTATTTTGTTTTGTTATAATTTTATAGTTCCATCGCTGCTTTATATAAAAGATTATGACGTGTTCTTTATCAAAAACAGGAAATATTAAAGTCGTAACTTATCTACATTTGCCTGTTGACGTTGCAAAACGAATAAAATAGAATATTTCTGTTGTTTTGCAAGAATTAAGTCAAGGTTTATTTTTATAAAAACTGATTTGGTAGTTTTTTTTTATTGTAGTTTAAAAAGTTGCGTCGTTTATTGATTTATTATAAAATCATTTAAAACAGAATTACATCTCTGAAGTGTTTTATAATTGTTCTGGATCTGTTTTAATGTAATAATGGAGGATGCTTTGATGGTAACGTATGGCTTTAATATTTAATAATAATAATACGTAATGTTACTTTGGGGCGTGCATAAAAGCGGATGATGTGGATCTGTTTTCGTATATTCCGACAATAGATTTATTTGTTGTTTATATGTGGTAATATGACTTGCAGGCAAACTGCCAAGGGGAGGTCTCCCAAGTGGACTTTCTATTGAAAACTGGTGCCTATTTAGGTGTTACAAATGTGAAGAAAACTTGGAAAACTCCATTTGTGAGGCTTGAACCCGCAACCAACTAACACTGTTTGGTTGTTTTATGTGGCTGTAATGCCTGTTGGTGGAACAGAGGTGGGTCCTTCGGACGCCACATCTTCCAAAAACTCTTAGACAGTGACAATAACTATATGCACTTGGACACTGGTAGGTCTCAACACTAAGTGGGATCTTATGTACTGTAATTATACAAAAATGTAAGTGTATGTTCTAACAGTGGATGAGATCCACGTGTATGTGTGTAAGTGCATGCAAGGCTGGTTGTGTTTGCAGCTCTGCGTGCACTTTTGTGTGTTCAGAAGTGTATTTTCTCTATCTATTTTCTACTTCCTTCAAGCATTTTTTATATAAATTAGAATGTAGTAGTGTTGTTAATCGTNCGACAATAGATTTATTTGTTGTTTATATGTGGTAATATGACTTGCAGGCAAACTGCCAAGGGGAGGTCTCCCAAGTGGACTTTCTATTGAAAACTGGTGCCTATTTAGGTGTTACAAATGTGAAGAAAACTTGGAAAACTCCATTTGTGAGGCTTGAACCCGCAACCAACTAACACTGTTTGGTGGTTTTATGTGGCTGTAATGCCTGTTGGTGGGACAGAGTGGGTCCTTCGGACGCGACATTTTCCAAAAACTCTTAGACGGTGACAATAACTATATGCACTTGGACACTGGTGGGTCTCAACACTAAGTGGGATCTTATGTACTGTAATTATACAAAAATGTAAATGTATGCTCTAACAGTAGATGAGATCCACGCATATGTGTGTAAGTGCGTGCAAGGCTGGTTGCGTTTGCAGCTCTGCGTGCACTTTTGTGTATTCAGAAGTGTATTTTCTCTATCTATTTTCTACTTCCTTCAAGCATTTTTTATATAAATTAGAATGTAGTAGTGTTGTTAATCGTATCTAACGTGCAAAGTGCGGAGAGAGTTAGCGCACGCATACATGGCGACTTCTCGTTTCGATAATCGAAGTTATAGTGTCAATCATGTAGTGTGACGTTTCCCAGTAACACAGGGAAGTACTGTTACGTATATGTTTTGAACTGTTAAAGGGCAATTTAAAAAAATTTTGTTGCGATCGTACCACCAGGCGCTTTACAAATGCTAAAGTTAGCATTTTATTCGATTGTGAATCGCCATAACAGCTGTGTAGAGGATTTAACATCATTAATTTGGGATTAAATTACAAAGTTAAAGGTATTCATTTTAAATGTCATTTAAATTAATTTTTAAATGTTTTTATTGATTATAAATTTTTTAACTGGTAACTTGCACTATGTTCAATGAGATAAAGGCTATAAAATACTAATTATGGTGATGTAGAAGCATAAGAATCCATTCTTTATTCCACAGCATGGCTTCTACACCACCATAATTAGTATACTAAAGGATATAAATTACCCTGTTTATGATAATATATTACATTTTCAAACACTTTTATGTCTTGGATTTAAATGCAAGCCAAACAAGTTACAGCTTAAGGAATTCACTCAATAATTTAGTTTTTGACTGCATTTTTTAAATGTATGGCTGCGGGGCGAGGGCCTCTTACATGCTAGAGTTTAGGGCTTTGACAAGACGAATTCCAATCCTGAGTTTGTCGACTGACATTTGTATGAGAGGGGATGTCATGAATGTATTCTTAGTACTGCATCTTATGTGATATTTATTTCTAAAGATCAAAGATGCTGCAATACAGATCTACATCTTGCTATACAGCACTTTTTCTACTTGTGATGTAATAATTAATCATATGTAATCCCACAAAAGTTATTTACTTAACTGGTAATCCTCATAACATCTCAAATTGCTTCCGCAACCTTGGGTTCGATACACTTAACTGCATTCCTGGCGGTTTGTTTTTGAACCCCCGGAGTGCTGTCTCGGCCATCTGGCCGGCCATACTTAACACAAGATATGTTAAAGTAATGCCAGAAACAGATAATTTGATAAGAAAGTACAAAAATGTAGAAAATTATGTCGAAATTGTACAGTACGGGACGAGGTTGCGTACATGCTCGGCTCCGAGTACAGGCAAGCTGACTTGCAGTTTTATATATGACATAACGATGATAAGGGTCGAGGGAGATAGAGGATGAATGTGTGATAACTTTGTTAGAAATATAAAACAGTTAGTAATGATTCGAGCTTAGATCATACGGAAAAGATGTAGAAAAAGCATAAAGCAGGTGAGAAAACGGACTGCAAGCTGTTACGCTTCTTGTAGTTTGTGATGTTTATATTTGTATTATTTTGTTTTGTTATAATTTTATAGTTCCATTGCAGCTTTATATAAAAGATTATGACGTGTTCTTTATCAAAAACAGGAAATATTAAAGTCGTAACTTATCTACATTTGCCTGTTGACGTTGCAAAACGAATAAAATAGAATATTTCTGTTGTTTTGCAAGAATTAAGTCAAGGTTTATTTTTATAAAAACTGATTTGGTAGTTTTTTTATTGTAGTTTAAAAAGTTGCGTCGTTTATTGATTTATTATAAAATCATTTAAAACAGAATTACATCTCTGAAGTGTTTTATAATTGTTCTGGATCTGTTTTAATGTAATAATGGAGGATGCTTTGATGGTAACGTATGGCTTTAATATTTAATAATAATAATACGTAATGTTACTTTGGGGCGTGCATAAAAGCGGATGATGTGGATCTGTTTTCGTATATTCCGACAATAGATTTATTTGTTGTTTATATGTGGTAATATGACTTGCAGGCAAACTGCCAAGGTGAGGTCTCCCAAGTGGACTTTCTATTGAAAACTGGTGCCTATTTAGGTGTTACAAATGTGAAGAAAACTTGGAAAACTCCATTTGTGAGGCTTGAACCCGCAACCAACTAACACTGTTTGGTTGTTTTATGTGGCTGTAATGCCTGTTGGTGGAACAGAGGTGGGTCCTTCGGACGCCACATCTTCCAAAAACTCTTAGACAGTGACAATAACTATATGCACTTGGACACTGGTAGGTCTCAACACTAAGTGGGATCTTATGTACTGTAATTATACAAAAATGTAAGTGTATGTTCTAACAGTGGATGAGATCCACGTGTATGTGTGTAAGTGCATGCAAGGCTGGTTGTGTTTGCAGCTCTGCGTGCACTTTTGTGTGTTCAGAAGTGTATTTTCTCTATCTATTTTCTACTTCCTTCAAGCATTTTTTATATAAATTAGAATGTAGTAGTGTTGTTAATCATATCTAACGTGCAAAGTGCGGAGAGAGTTAGCGCAAGCGTACATTGTCTTATTCATTACACCTTTATTAAATTTTAATTATTAAAACAATTTAAATCATAAAGTAAAACCAAAAATGCCCAGAAAGTTAGTGTTGATGGACATTGCCATGCTCGAAGCATTAAAATAACGATGTTAATCTTGCTAATGTATTTATGCTCTGATAAAGGTCTTAAGTGGTATTTAGTTGATATTAACAGAGGAGAAAAGTAGTATATTTTTGTAGACAGAGCTAAAAAACGCTGCAAGCAGCTGCGGGGGAATAAAAATAAAATAGAGGCCGTCTACCGGCAAAAGTCATTCTTCTGGTTCTGATGCTTTCGTGTTCGGAACAGGTTTTTTTATTGAATATATTTATAACTGCTACAATATTTGCATATTTTTTCTCTTTAAACAGTTATATATAGCCTATATTTAAGTCAGAGTAGTTAATTTCTGTAACGGAATTTCTGTTATTCCGTTTGATTGGCATTAAATGCTTATTTTTTATATTCATATGATAGTTAAGGACTTATGTTATGGAATTTATGAGCTAGAGTTGTGTAAGGTGATGACTTAACTGCATTTTAGAATAGATAAGACAGGAACAAGTAATTATTTACTTAACTAGAAGTATGCGAAGGTTGGTTCATAAATTTTAACACCTACGAAGCTGTAGTTGTGGGCATTTTTAATGTTATGTAAAAAAATATGTAGGTCCAGTTACTTAAAGTGTTACTAAATTTATTAGCAAATTTTATTTTTTCAAACTGCCATGTGGGCACTAAGACAGCCTTTTTTAAGCTCGTTGTAGGCCTGGCCGAACCCACAACGAGCTAGCCGAGTGGTGACGGACAGAACAGCTCAAAAAGTCCTGGGGTTTTTGACCATCCGGATTTAATCTCTGATCTTTCAGAGCAGTAGGCTGACAACTTTACTAGTTTAATAGCAGGGCTGTGGAGTCGGAGTCGGAGTCGTGGAGTTTTGATGTTTTAGCCGGAGTCAGAGTCGGATGGTAAGGAAAAGTCGGAGTCAGTAGATTTTTACGCAACTCCACAGCCTTGTTTAATAGGTAATAGGACAATGTGTGTTTTCTTTTATTATAAATTATGATGTAATACTTATGCAATCCTCAAATAAAATTTAGTTTTCAGGGTGAGTTATATGAAATTGCACACTCATACAATACAGGATCTTGCATACACACATACAGTTAAGGTTTACCCATTCATATAGTGTAAGATCACACGTTACAATGTGGAAGTATATACTTCTGCATTCCAGAATCTTGCATTTATATAGGAAGGGTCGTGTATTTATACAATGTTGGATTGTGTAGTTCGTATGCTTGCACTCATACAATACAAGGTTATATGCTTGCTTAATTCAGATTTTACTTAATGCGACTAATGTTTGTAAAATTTTCTCGTGTTAATCGATATTAAAATTCTCATTGCAGATGTCGGAAGCCAAGTCGTATTTTGATTTCGGTTGCCACATCCAAAATCTCCTCTTCAAGGGCGTCTCCGTCTCGTCCGTCGGTGGTGAGTAAACTTTATTTTAATTACAGAAATTTGATATAGATTGTGGCATTAATTGAGGAAGCTGTTGACGAAAGCATCAAGACACTTATCTTAATCAATTAATTAAGAATTAATCAGCTTCCTACATTGCAAACGTAGGGAAAAAAACATTATAAAGCTCCATAACGTATCGAGTGAAATATTTAATTATGAATCTTAATACAGTACTTCAAATTAGCTTCATCTAACCTATAAAACTCATTGCAGTTTATTAAAAGCTCTTTAATTCTTTAAAATAATTAAATTTCAAATAAAAATACTTATTTAAAACTTCAGAAAATGGATAATTTATTACTTGCTGCAGCTGTGGAAATGCCAATTAACATTTTCAGCTTCCACTTCCTTTCTGTGCTACTTGACTGGTAGAAAAAGCATAAAGCAGGTGAGAAAACGGACTGNTCTTAATACAGTACTTCAAATTAGCTTCATCTAACCTATAAAACTCATTGCAGTTTATTAAAAGCTCTTTAATTCTTTAAAATAATTAAATTTCAAATAAAAATACTTATTTAAAACTTCATAAAATGGAAAATTTATTACTTGCCGCAGCTGTGGAAATGCCAATTAACATTTTCAGCTTCCACTTCCTTTCTGTGCTACTTGACTGCAGATAAAGTTAATGTAAGTTGATAAATAGTTGATCTGGTAAGTGGCGTAGCAAACATAACTGGCGCCCGGGGCACGACACTTTATTGACGCCCCCTCCCCCTCCAGAAACAAATCTTGTTTGTCTTGGAGACCATTTGGCGCCCCTTTGCGAGAGGCGCCCGGGGCACGATAGACCCCCTTACCCCTCCCTCGCTGTGCTAGTGGATCTGGTAATTGGAAAATTGTTAGTAAATATTTGAAACAATATAATTCCTTGAGGAATAATCAGAAAATGATAAAACTATAAATGTTATTTTGACATTTTAGCGTGTGATAAGTAATTTGTAACCATTATATCATTGGAGTTTTGTTAGTGAAAACTGATTTAAGAGTTTAGATGAATTAATCTAGGTTCTTATTGGTGTGTGGCTGTCTGCCATTTTGTTGTATATAATTGTAGTGTATATAGAATAGGAACTCCTTTCTTCTTTCCTATAATTCGTCTTCCTTCCGTTTTTAACTCTTTCCTGTCACGTGACAGGAGCTGTAGTATTCGTGAGTCTTGATTGGTTGATTTACAAAGGGACAAGCAGGTGGTCCTGCCCGAAGCTTTCGATAGACACTAGGTGAGGAGAAAGGACACTTTTGGGTTCATCACCAAGGAGAACGGTCAAGCAAGACTGACTGGAGGACCGTGTGTAAGGCTGAGGGCGCACTTTCACAGTTATACAAACTGTGAAAGTGTGCCCTCAGCCTTACACAGTTATACAAACTGTGAAAGTGTGTTTGTGAACGTGATGAACTGATATGAAGTAGGTACAAACTGTCTCTCTTGGTGACTGTTTGACCAGTTTGTTACGAGTTGAAAATGTTCTGTGTCACTTAATATGAAGCATACAAAACGTTGCTTCGAGTAGTGTTCATTTTGTTCTTTTACAGTGATTAGGATGAACGTAAACCTAGTTTTAACAGTGGGTAAAGTTTAAAGAATGCCAACATTTTTGTCTCGGTTAATGACCTANTGTTATTTTGACATTTTAGCATGTGATAAGTAATTCATAACCATTATATCATTGGAGTTTTGTTAGTGAAAACTGATTTAAGAGTTTAGATGAATTAATCTAGGTTCTTATTGGTGTGTGGCTGTCTGCCATTTTGTTGTATATAATTGTAGTGTATATACAATAGGAACTCCTTTCTTTTTTTCTATAATTCTTATTCCTTCCGATTTTACGACTATTCGTGGGTCTTGATTGGTCGATTTACAAAGAGACAGGCAGGGGTCCTGCCCGAAGCTTCCAATAGACACAAGGTGAGGAGAAAGGACACTTTTGGGTTCACCACCAAGGTGAAAGGTCAAGCGAGAGTGACCGGAGGACCATGTGTAAGGCTGAGGGTGAAGGAGAGAAAGGACCAGCATAGACCAAGTAGGAATGGAGACAAGAAAATAATTGAGATAGCCGTTCCGGAGAGGTCCAAGGAACTGCCTCGGCACATGTTTATATTAATAACTGCTTTGTACCCCCCTGGATGCTAACAGATTGTACATTTACCGTGCACGAAGTGATCACCGTCGATATTCACCCAGTTCAGGACAGATCTAGCTACCAGTAGATTTTCTAACTATCCTTCCTTTCCTCTTTCTAGTATTAATAGTATTAGGTTAAGTTTAATTATAATTATCTTAGTTTTAATCGGGATTATATGTATGTGTGTATTAAATTCGTTGCAGGAAGTTTGAACGAGAGAGGAGATGCTGTAAATATATCTATATATATTTGTCTCTGTGACAGTCGTTTTGTTTTCTGTCAACTCATTTAACTAATAAAGTGATTTGATCGTTATTTGCTTTTGTCGTCTTATCACATGTTTCACAAACACACTTACATAGTTATACAAACTGGTATGAAGTAGGTACAAACGGTCTCTTTTGGTGACTGTTTGATCAGTTTGTTACGAGTTGAAAATGTTTTATGTCACTTAATATGAAGCATACAAAACGTTGCTTCGAGTAGTGTTCATTTTGTTCCTTTACAGTGATTAGGACGAACGTAAACCTAGTTTTAACAGTGGGTGAAGTTTAAAGAATGCCAACATTTTTGTCTCGGTTAATGACCTATCAGTGGCCAAGCAGGTAAAACCATTGAACGTGTAGTTTTTTTATAGGTCCAGGCCTTGTCAAGTAGGAGTTTTTTGAGATTTCTTTGTGTTTGGAACACCAAAATTAGGGCAGTTTCCTATAGAAAGTCCTTGTAGGAGGCATCCCTCTTGGCAGATTTTGCATTGCTGTATACAAACAAACACTCAGTCAATTAATGGGTATTTTCAGGTGTGGACAGTCTAAAGCAGAATCTTTCAGTAAGAATATTCTACTTTTCAATCATCCATGCTCGAAGATAGCCCTTTAACTGGGTCGTAAACGTTAGCGTTCTTTAAACTTCACTCTCTGCTAAAGGGGTATCTATTAATTTGACTGAGTAACCGCAGTGGCTAGTTTAATTTTTTTTAAAGTTTATGTTGTAAATAAGAAAAATTACATTACAGAATAATATAATTCGTCTCGAAACAGAGAAAACACCATTAACTATCGTAAATTGTGTGATACGTATTAACAATGTCTTTGCATTTCTTTCAAAATAATACTTGCAAGGCTACAGAAACTATGAACAGCTGTCTTAACTATTGTATTTGATACACAGTTAATGATTCTGAATGATCTTTACCAAAATTTAATATGTTTGAGTGGCTAGACATTAATTATGGTAACAAACCTGTTTTTGGCTTGCATTGAACTGTGATATATGCAGTTATGTGGATTGTTTTGTACATTGCTCTTCATATTCTTTGATTTGTATGTCAGTGAAGGTATTATTGGCTATAGAAAGTATTTTAGATAAGTTTTTGCTATTTATTTGCCATCAGTTCTATAGAATAGTATCTATGTGGCCCAAGGATACCGACGGAATTAACCTGCCCAAGTTGCTGCTTGACATAACGGCCTTGGATTATGTTAAATATCGAGAGAAATATGTCAGGGTGTCACGTGGTACAAACTCATTCAGTAAATGGTCTTACTAAACAGGTTTGTATGTATTCGATATACAGTTTAAGACAATATATGCTCTTAACACCATGTTTTACAATTAATTTAATCGAATTAGTATGGAAAATTCATTAATTTTATTGACTTGCTCCTCTGTCAGGCGCACTTCCCGATATTATAATCTCGGAGACAATGCTTGCATTTTTCAACAAAAATGGGAAAAGCGTTTGAGCGTAACGAAAGCAGAAAGCTGTAGTTTAAGTATCAGACATCCAGTTGTAAAAAATTTATTCTAAATATTATAAATTGGGTCACAATATAAATGCAGCCGGTTATGGTGTGTGACAGTCGAAGTGCTAAATATAGACTCAATACATGTGGCGTCACACTAGATTAGGCGGAGTGAGGTGATCCGGATAACGAACAGGTTAAGAGAACGTCGTGGGACGTTAATAATAATAAAAAGTTCTTGCATAATGCAGGGATTATGAATTACGTACGGCCGAGTAGATATAGAAATAGAAACTCATTCCATTTAGAATTAGAGGAAAATCTGTAGTAACAATTGTTTCCTTTTATAGTATAATATCACCGTTTGTTTTATTTAAATATACGATATTGATTTTTATAATAAAAATGTCGATAGAGGAAGTAGAAGTTTGCTTGCGACTCGTTGATCCTGTTTTGTAATACATGGTCGATCACCGGTAGATAAATTCTTGCATATTTTGTATTCGGCAGAGAGAAATAAAACAAAGGAAAGACATTGGAATTAGCTGCATTACAGTCCGTAGCCATTTAGCTATTTCTTTAATTGTAATTGTTTTAATGTACGGCAATTTCTTACGTAAAATGCTATCACAAAGCTTGTTTGTATAATTAACAATTATGGTATATGTGCGTATCTATATTTTAAAATTTTCTAGAGGGGTATTAACACCTGTCGGTTCAATGACATGACAACATAAACTATTATATGTTAATAGAATGGATAGATTAGCAGACATTTCTGTGGAAGTGTGATGTATTTTACTCTTACATTTCTTTTAAAACATTATATATTAACCCAAATTGGATGGATAAAGCCACCGAACACTGGTAGTTGGTTGCAGATTCTCACCTCACTAATAGTTGAGTTTTGTGGGTTTTCTTCTTGTCTTAACATCTAAATAGGGACAATTTCCTATGGAAAGTCTTCTTGGGAAGCAGTAACATAGCTAAGATAGGGCAGAGACGGCAATTGGCACTCTTTTTGGGGTAGAACTTCTGGTCTACTGCAACTAAAAGGGAATTTTCTTTATTTGGATTAGCAGAAAGATAAAAGAACTGGCTTAGGTGACACAATTCCTAGCTATTCCACTGGCAGAAGGCGCATCTTGTCAGCAGATCATCCAAGTGTTATACTACCTTATCCAAAACTATGACCCAAAACTCGGTCCAGGTCATTTCTGCACGCCCAGGGTCTGCGCATCCCTAGTTACAGCACTGTTTGAGTGTAGAAACAGTCTTCAGAGTACTTTTTATAGTATAATAAAGGATTTCTAATACGTTTTATTGGTTAATACGAAAGCTTACTTTTAAAAATTGCCTATATATGTGTAAAAAAATGATACTAATGACTAATTTCTGTTTATTTAGGAATGATCGGACTGTGTATAGGAACGGCATTTCTCACTTTAAGCTACGAGTCCATGAAAGTTTTCAGACATCGCCTGACTCTGCTACAGAGTAAGCGTTCGGATTCCATCCCCAGATCGGAATCGTCCCGCTCGGAGAACGATTTCTTGGTCACAAGAACTCTGTCTGCTCAGACTCTAAAAAGGTACTTATGAAAGATAATTTATTTATAATATAAGCTAAATTAAATGAGAATGAATTGTATATTATTTGAGTATTTATCATTTGTCTGGTAATTCACACAAAACGAATAGATTTTGATATAAGAAACTAGAGTACACACAATACATTGCCGACTGGAGCTGTTAAATAGTGCTCAGAACAAGTAAACAGTTGATTAAAACTCTCTTAAAAATCCCGGGAGTGACCGAAGTTCCTCAGGCCCTTCATATCTTTCACAGTATGACGTACACTAATGTACTTAAGTGTGAGTCCAGGCCGGTGAATTCTGATCTTGTCGACTTAGTAACAGGCCTACTGCAGTCACTCCAGGCCCGAGGAAGTGCCACAACCACTCGGGAATGTGTCACCTTGGTAACGACACACTTGATCCAATGCTGCTTGATAAGAAAATGTTTGTTTACCTGCTTATATAACTCTTTCAAATAAATGCATAATGAAAGTTTAATTTAATATTGAAAACATTTTAACTAACATTCTTGATCAATACTGATCTTCATCAGGTCATTAATATAACATTAACTATGTTTATTGCATAAAGTGGATTTGTTGAGTGGCATTTTAGTGATTTATGCTCTATGTTAGCTACTGCAGTAAAGTATGGAAGTGCTGAAGACAGTTAAAATTGGCTACCACCGTCTTCGTATTTGTGAAATTTAGACCGAAAAACATAATGTTAAAATGCTGAAGACAGTTAAAATGGATGCTACCGATGTTTGAGGGGGTGTTTGAAGACTTAAGAGGGCAGTGGACGGCAAGAGATGGCAGGAATATTGAAAGACAAGGAGACAAAAGTTCATTTTGAAATGGAAAAGAGTATAAGAAATGTATGCATTTGTATTTTTATGTGTTTGTATGTATATTTGTAACATTAAAACAATAGAATTTGCTCGGTAATCGGTTTGGCAACCGCTCCTCCGTAGGAAGTCTCACTCCAAAACATCAAAGGAATGCTTGCGTCGGCTTGGAAGCTGCTGGTGTGAATGTTACTGTACATGTTACCGACATGCCATTTTTGTTTCTGCTTCCACTCCGATTCACCTGTTCTATTATAGGTGCTGTGATGGCCTGGAGCTTGTCTCGAGTCCAGAAAATGGGACCCAAACTGAGTAGTGATCTGCTAGGATGCTGTTACATTATGCCCTGTAATTTGTGTTCATTGTTTTAAACTTTAGAATACATTGTGGACTTTATAAATGTTTTCCACGCGAAATTTTCTCCATGAATGAAGTTATTTTTCTAATACTTTGTTCCTGTTTTTGGTAGTCTTTTTAGTAAGTGGAGTGGAATTAAAAGCTACATAAGATTTGAATTGTTCTCCAGTTAGTTTCAATAGCTTTAATCATGACTATACTGATAGATCATTGTATAAATAATGCAATATAGTAACAATTAGTTGCATTATATACAAAATATCATTCTAAAATCATCTTTTGGTATTGATTCAAACATTGGAAGATTGTTTTGGCTGAAATTTTATATAAATAAAGGGGTTTTTAGTATTTGTTATACATGTGAGTAGCAGTTTACATCTTTGCATAGGGAAGCTAGAGTACAGGGTATCAACTGGTCAGAGTAAGGACTTATATGGGGTGATTAATTTTACATTAATCTGCTTTTAACTAATAAGTTACTCCCATTTTATTTTCAGGTTGAAGTTCCACTTTGTCCAGACTATTTTGTATGTGCTGCAAGTAGTCCTAGGATATTTTCTAATGCTAATAATCATGAGTTATAACGTTTGGTTGGCCATTACGATATTCCTGACATCAGGATGCTGCTACTACCTGTTTGGCGTCTTTGTGTTGTCTCGTTCGGTGGTGGTTCCCATCGAGTTCATGTCCACCGACGATCACTAGAAGTGGAAATTTCGTACGCCGGAAAGAAGTTTCGGAAAATATCTAACGATTTGTAAAATCACCAAAGGTATCTTAGAATTTTTGTTAATCTCTCTTGTTTTTTGCGACCATATGTGATATGTGTGGCGCGAGAGTCGACGTTCTCAGTAATCGAGGCGATACACTTCAACACAATTTTGAGCTTATGTTTCTCACAAAGTTTTTATTGTCTTGCGTAACTAGCTTAAACCAAAAAAATGTTACTTGCATACACCCGATACTACACTTTGCACGTATAATGCACAATAGCGATGCGAGTGGATTTATTTCAGAATTATTTAATTATTATCAGTCGTGTCGCATATTAATTTATTTTGTAAAATCCGTAGCCGAGTGCATAATTAAGTGACCGAAGTTGCTCAAATTCTAGTTCGAAATTCGTTGTTATCGGGATTATTATATGTTACCTACCACCTTCAGCAATATGAAAATAATGTATAAAGTATTTTTATTATATTATATTATATTTGTTGATATTACTGTACAAATGATCACTTTACTTCTGACCTGTATATCGTGCAAAAATATATGGATTATAAAGTGAATAAAGTATTAGTTTTATATATTATATTTATGATTAAAGTCTTGTCAAAATCTATGGTGTAGTGCACGTAAAATGTTAATACAAAACACATGGCTATCCATGGGGTTTCTTCACTTGTTTAATATATAAATAGTGTCCAGTTTTTTATAAAAAAACCCCCAGAAAACAATTGCCTTATGTCATCAGTTCAATGCAGTTTAGTCGTATTGTATTTGGGGGTGTAGGATGGGAATTGTAGATCAGAAAGGATGACATGCTGTGTGGATATGAATTATATATATATATGAAAGAAACGACATGTTCATGGATGTGTATTGTGGATCAGTAAAGTTACACAATGCATGGGTGTGAGTTATACGGTGCGTTTACTTTTTGCTAGCTTCCAAGCTCGCCGAACTGACACCTAGCGCAGCCTGATGTCATTGTAGCACGCTGGTAAAAGTATACACAGTAATGGACGCCGCCATCTTTGAACAAACTCCAAGCTCATTGTAAATTCGCCAAGCATGCTGAGCGCACTAGGAATGCTAGCAATGACGTCACAGGTGCGAAAAGTAAACGCCGTGCTCATCGGTAGCTAACAAAAAGCATACAGGCTGAGCATGCTAGAGGCAAGGTTGGAGCTAAAAGTAAACGCACCCATATATTTGAAAAGAGTAGGATGCTTGTAGATATGAATTAATAGATGCAGAGGAGAGGGAATGTTATGTGATGGTGAACTGCAGTTACAGAAAGGATAGGATGCTCTATGAAAGTGAATAATAGGATGGAACATGGCTAGGATGTTTATAAAGAGGTTATGATACTGTTTGGAAGTGGTGAAAGTGCAATGGTAAATATAAAAATTCTCACTTTAATCTGCAAATTTTGTATTGAAAACAGTCAGTTTCGTCATGGTAAAGTGCAAATTATATTCTGTCTATCTGTCGTCCGCTCATCACTTTAAAACTTTCGACTGGAGGTACAGAAAGTTGTGAAAGTTCCAAAAATTTCAAATTACAGCTTTTAAAAGAAACATTTGTCACTTGTGAGGAGCAGTATTTATACATTTTGTCAGCAGACAATCAGATAAACTTGTTACAAGTCATTATGTAACTATATTTATAGTTCACAGAAGTGTGTAGTTGCTGCCAACTTGAATACAGATGGACAGAATGCATTTTATGTAAAATCTTTATACTTAACATTTAAAAAAAAACTATTCTGTAACTAAATTGTTCCAGACGTCTGCAAAATTTTTATGTTTCTATGTCTGTGCATTGGTTATTCGAAAGGGGTGGAGTAGAAAAAAATGATTTTGATAAGGAAAGACAGGAAATTCATAATTAAGTTTCCTGTTAATGGTTTATTAAGGTGCGTCATATATATATATCAAAGGAAGTGCGGAGATGAGTGTAAGAAAGGACGCAAATTTCAGAAACTCTCAATAAAGGTAGATGTTTTTATATATTCTCTATCTATATCAAATAGTGTGTGATAAATCACAGAATTTTAATCAATACAATTAGCAAGTTTCTAAGTTGGCTCTTAGTAAACTATCTTTAATCTGCTGTGTTGATTAGTCCGAGTATGGCGTGATGCATTAGTGAATTATGTGGTATTTGGTAAGTCTACGGATGTACGACGCGACGTTGGTCAAGTGTAGTGTGAGGTATATCCAATGTGGTGTGTATAGTGTGTCGAACTGGAATAATATAATGTAGTGTTGATGTCGGTTAAGTCAGTATAGTGTTGAGTCAGGAAGGATCTGGATATGACAGTGCTGATTGTTCTGGAGCAATCTGATTGATAAAATAACGAATTTTTTTCTCTTTATCCTGTAACCATTTAATCAGATCTATCATGGGTTTGGTCTAGAACAAAGGGGGTATCTGGGTGGTGGTGTACAAGACCTAATTGCCCTCGGAAAATCCCCGGAGTTGCCCCCTTGGATTGGAACCCAACTCTCCAAAGTGGACCGGTGTCTTAAACATTCAGTTTTCAATATAATATTGATTGGTGTGGAGAGTATGTATGATACAATATTGAAGTAAGATGTGATGTTGGTGAGTTCATGAGTGGCAGTGTGCTTCTCTGAGTAGCTTGCTGATGGATAAACAGTTATAAACAATTATCAAAAGATTCGTAAATGGTGAAGTGATGTGGATGAGTTTAGTAATAGATGACGTAGAGAAAGTATGCGAAACAAGAAGAAAAATTTCGCGATTTCAAGGAAAAACCGACAAACTCCGCCATGTTTAAGTTCAACGCAACGCGCTAATTCGCGTCGCGTCGTAAATAATCTATTCGCGCGACTTTATTTTAATTACAGTTACGTAAAGAAAATATCTAGTGTTTTACAAAGAACATTTGGAATTTTTTTATTTAATAAAATTCATTTTAATTTCGAATTATTAATTAAACATTTTTGATTAAGTATTCGACGCGACTACGCGCGCGACCAAGCGAAAGTGATGATAATTCACTAGTGTCGCTTCGTATCGCGTTTGGATAAGCGATTTCGCGACAGACTAATGTAAACTTTCTTTAGCAAACCAGGAAAACTAGAGAAAAATCGCGCCGCGCAGTTTCGTGCCTGACGCCGGCTTATGTGTCAATAGATAGCAAGCGGCGCGCGACGCGCGACGCTCTGTGCGTATTGTCGCGTCATGAAAGTAATACGGTTTCTGATTCGCTGTTTTAAATGTATCGTACAAAATTAGACCAATCAGCTTACATTTACATAATCTATATTAAATACACTATAATAAAGAAACCATCTTTCTGATGACAACAGGATGCAGTTAAGATCCCGTGTGATGTCAGCAGCAACAATATCAGGATGCAAACTCGTCCAATTAGATACCATGTTACTACAGCAACAATTGTAGAGTGAAATCGCGAATATGTATTTTAAAATTTATATCCTAGGCCTATATTCTTTCAGAGTGACTTTTGCTATTCGGTGTAAAGTGCACACTACACTAGTAGTCGAGTGGGTAACACCATTGAACACAGGTAATTGGTAGTGGGTTCGCACCTGACTAAAATCTGGTGGTGTTTTTTGGGTTTCCTTGAGGGAAACTCAAAAAAACACTACCAAACAGTAGCTTTTATATTTAAGTACACGTGCTCTTCCTGTAGTTTCATGCTCGACGTTCCAAACGCCATCGTCAAACTTCTAGGCTTACAGGAAGGCGGCGCTGAACGTCCGACGTTCACGTTTTTGCGATGAAAACGTCGCCCGCAACCTGTCGTGTTCTAGGAGCATGAAACTACAGGAAGAGCAAGTGTAGTGTACTTAAATATAAAAGCTACTGTTTGGTAGTGTTTTTTTGAGTTTCCCTCAAGGAAACCCAAAAAACACCACCAGATTTTAGTCAGGTGCGAACCCACTACCAATTACCTGTGTTCAATGGTGTTACCCACTCGACTACTAGTGTAGTGTGCACTTTACACCGAATAGCAAAAGTCACTCTGAAAGAATATAGGCCTAGGATATAAATTTTAAAATACATATTCGCGATTTCACTCTACAATTGTTGCTGTAGTAACATGGTATCTAATTGGACGAGTTTGCATCCTGATATTGTTGCTGCTGACATCACACGGGATCTTAACTGCATCCTGTTGTCATCAGAAATATGGTTTCTTTATTATAGTGTATTTAATATAGATTATGTAAATGTAAGCTGATTGGTCTAATTTTGTACGATACATTTAAAACAGCGAATCAGAAACCGTATTACTTTCATGACGCGACAATACGCACAGAGCGTCGCGCGTCGCGCGCCGCTTGCTATCTATTGACACATAAGCCGGCGTCAGGCACGAAACTGCGCGGCGCGATTTTTCTCTAGTTTTCCTGGTTTGCTAAAGAAAGTTTACATTAGTCTGTCGCGAAATCGCTTATCCAAACGCGATACGAAGCGACACTAGTGAATTATCATCACTTTCGCTTGGTCGCGCGCGTAGTCGCGTCGAATACTTAATCAAAAATGTTTAATTAATAATTCGAAATTAAAATGAATTTTATTAAATAAAAAAATTCCAAATGTTCTTTGTAAAACACTAGATATTTTCTTTACGTAACTGTAATTAAAATAAAGTCGCGCGAATAGATTATTTACGACGCGACGCGAATTAGCGCGTTGCGTTGAACTTAAACATGGCGGAGTTTGTCGGTTTTTCCTTGAAATCGCGAAATTTTTCTTCTTGTTTTGCATACTTTCTCTACGTCATCTATTACTAAACTCATCCACATCACTTCACCATTTATGAATCTTTTGATAATTGTTTATAACTGTTTATCCATCAGCAAGCTACTCAGAGAAGCACACTGCCANATTTTACGTATGTTACGACGAGAATTGTTACGTCATTTGTTACGTAATTTATAACTTAAAACATGTACTGTACATGAGTAATTTTTCTCATCTTGCATCTACAAAGGTATACAAAGAAACATAAAATTCGTATTATATAATTCACGATCATTGTTTCCCGTGTGACTATGTGAAATTTTCGTTTATTTCTAATAAAAGTGGGAAAAAAATTATTTTCCTTTTTCGGAAATAAGTGATGAAAGATACTGTAATACTTATAAACATTACAAAACCAGTTTCATGTGGATAAATAATTATTAATGAGAGAAGAAGGTTGAGTTGAAGGATTTATTAATATGTAAATTATATTAAATCGTGACTGAGTTTAGGTAACAAGTAACCCGTTTCAACTGTCATTGGCTTACTTATTTACTACCCACACGCGCTATTTCTAGTTGCAAAATATTGCAAGCTACTCATGCAAATTAATAAATGCTGTATTAATTGAGCAGAAAACTATATTGAGTATTGATATGTAGCAATATAAAATACGTAATTCTTAGCATAGCCAACAATGGAGTCGATTGAGTGGTGAGGATATCCGGGGAAGACGACAACTATAAAATTTCTGAGGTTCTTTGACTGGATTCGATACTAGACTCTGAACACTGAGAACTGCCATGGAGTTTTCCGGGTTTTCTCCATGTTGATGACTCCTGAGTAGAGATCAGTTTCCCATAAAAGTCCTCCCAGAAGTCATTCTTTCCCCGCGCGCAATTAGGCCATTCTATAAGGCCAGATAGCGATCACCCACAAGTTTTTCGGAGTAAAGGTGTATAGCCATAAGACTCAATATGAACTACCATCTACTGAAAAAAAAAGATGGATTCGATTTCGGTAGGCAGGTAGACGCCTGAATCGCCTCGGCCATCAAGCCGGTACTGTAAGTGTTTAATTAAATTGAACAATTAAACTACTAGAAACCACTGAACACTGAAAGTTTTGTCGTGGATTCGTGCATGATTTAGGGCTAACTGAACATATAAGGGGACTTCCCGCTTCTCCGAATAGCGATGAACAACACGTATTTAGCTTGTTTAGTTTACATATAAATGTGAAATTACTCGTGTTATTTGTAACCTTTATTTGTAACTTTCCACAGATTGAAATTTAATAGGAATGGAAGGAAACTTGTATTACTTAGGAAATAATACCAAAAATATTTTATTTGCGGGAAAAAAGGTGTAGAAAAAAAGGAAGCGCGATATTACTCCATCCTGATTGATAATGGCTTTCGTGGAAAAAAAACCAGTTCTGTCAAGTTATGTGATTGTTATGAAGCGACATTTACGTTTAATTGATTACGTTAATGATAGCGGGCGATAGACGACGTCACGGATCGTAACCTTTTTAAGTCGAAAAAAATTAGATAATTTTATTAATAAACTTGAAAGTAGTAAGTACTATATTTTATTGTATTCTATATTATATTTAAAAGCTTAAAACTGCACGATTTTATTTAAAATTAACAATTCTTTTGTATATTTAATTCGCAATGAGCCCGGACCCTTGTATCGATTGCATGGCACGTTTCCACATCGCCACTCTTTATTTTTAATTTATGAAATTTTGAATGTCTTCAAATTATATTATTATTAAATTATTTAAAATAGAAAAAAATAATCTGTTATTTTGCGTCAATAAGCTTAAATTCGTTAGATTTTATTTTTATAAAGCATATATAAGCTTTAAAATTTTATTTCCGCTAGAGGGAAAAGGTCGTGTTTTTTTATCGTTTGCGTTTAGTCTTTATGTAAAAAATTAGAAGTATTGGAGTGTATTTTGTAAACTTATATTTTTATAAAGTTATGAAAAAATTAGATTATGATTACTTATAATTAATTCACTGCTTATACAGTAAAAATTTGTAAAATGTTTTAATTATTATTGAATGTCACTGAATTTTATCCACCAGAGGGATAAGAATGTATCCGTTTCCGCTTAGTATTATTTCTGGAAATAATTTATTATTATTTTAATTTAAATCCTATAAAATTTGGACTTAATTTAGAAAAATTATCTGAGTTAGATGTTACATTTATTTTTATTTTTTAAATTAAACATATTTTAAACAGGAACAGTAGTAATCGGAAGTCGCTGCGATTTTATCCCTCTACCGGCAAATTATAAAATATGAAATTTATAATATAAATATTTAAATTGGAAGATTAATGTAAAATAGTTTAAATGAAATTTCTGTTAAGTCAACATAAGACATTTTCCATTAATAAACGAGAATATTATATCAGCAATGGCGTCACGTCTGATGCTATTGACGAAATGCATACTGTGATGTCATGAGTGACGTAATTTTCTCATTTGCATTCAATCGCAGCGAGACGCATTTACTTTTACGATTAACTGGAAGAAAATCTTGATTTTTGGTAGCGATTGCGACTGAAATTATCGCGATTATGTGGCGATTTTCTTACATATCAAAGATTATGGCACCTACTATGCAAATACATTGCATTTGGAAGTATTCCATGAATTTATAGACCGCGTAAACCAAAAATGGGCCATACAAGATCTGTAATAGTTCAAGAACTAATTCATAACCACTGGATAGAAGTTACTTGATAAATTATGTATTTTATTTAAAGTTTGTTTGTGACATTGCTGTATGGTAACGCGTCTAATGTGCTGATCCTGGTTATTCTGTAATTTATTATATCAATGAGAATCGAGGCATCCCCATCACTCATCTATGCTGGTGAATATCATTGTGGGTCAGTAATAAGGCTTTTTATTTTTTTACTGTTTTTCACCCAGTGGGCACTAAGAGGGCCTCCTATAGCAGGCCCATTATGAGTTCGGCGAGGCCCACAATGGGACGACCTAGTGGGGGCCCGACATATCTGAATGGACCACCCCCGAAGAATTCCTGGGGATTCTTTGACCTGTCTGGATTCGATCCCGGGTCTCCCAGAGCGGTAGGCTGCCATCTTGACCGCTTGGCTATCTGGCCTCATGTAATAACTTTCTTTGGCACCTTCTTTGGCATATGCCAAAGAAGGTGCCAAAGAAGGTTATTACATAGAGCCAAAGAAGGTTATGCAATAGAGAAACCTTCTGGGAAGCACCTTCTTTGGCATATGCCAAAGAAGGTGCTTCCCAGGAGGTTTCTCTATGAGAAACTTGCCTCTATTTGAGTGTTAGACACGTAAAGAAAATTCGGAAAACTTCACGTTAGTTAGCCGCAAATTCAGGCCAGATCAACTGGTCGGCTGACGTGGAATTTTTCGTATCTAACACCTAAAAACAGATAAGTTTTCCATTGAAAATTCTTCCAGAAGGCATTCTCCTTTGACAAATTTCCTTATAAATTGCGTTGCATTATCCCGTCAATTCAGTCCCATCAAATCACTGAAAATGTTTACAAAACAATTTATTCAAACAATAAAGTGCACTGTAGTAAGGATTTGCAAGTCTTGCATTATCTATTGAAGTGTCCGGTTCCACGGCATGAGAATAATACGTTAGTGTCGTTCAGTAAACATAAATAATACTTATTTAAATTAGTTGTTTTTTCTTTAGTTATGTAAATATAATTTATTTTTACAGTTTAACATGCTGATCGCTAGGATATTTGGTGTTTTAATTTCAAATTTTGCGATATTCTTCTGCTTAAATGCTCAGAGAACAAGAAGACCACTCAGTAAGTATTTACTCGCAGGTTTCTTAATTATGTATTATTAAATTTGTTGAATTATGTGAATTGTCTTTTAATGAGACGAAGGTTAAAAAATTTTACTACTACAGTAGAGCGTCGATTATCCGAACCAATTGGGGACTGGGGTTGTTCGGAAGATCGATGTTTCGGATAACCGATTATGTACGAAAAACGTAAAATATTAGAGTAGCCCAAGACATAGCCAAAGATTGCAGCGCCATAGCTCTGGCAAAAATTTAAATTTGCCGACCGGAATTCTTTCGGATGATTGACTTTCGGATAATTGACGCTCTACTGTATTTATTGCATTTATAAAAATTGATGGCGAATAGCCGGTGGTTAAGCGTTAAAAAAAGGGCTTAAAATTGCTTAGTTGTTGACCGATTGGGAAATATGTATCCACGCTTAGTGACACTATCTATATATATATTAAACATTTTACAATTCTCTTATTTAGGCTCATTCCAGTAAAGCCTTATCTCTTGAGTCGATGGCCACGGCCAAATCCTGACAAACCATTACAGGTTTAGGACATTTTCTGAACAATCAATGGGCATTAAATGATTTCGTAATTAATTTCAGTTGGAGTTGTTTTCCCTGATGATGTTCCAAGTGGTGAATCTTGCACGACAAAAGAAAATCGTCCAGGACAATGCATCCCTTTAGGCAATTGCAGATCGGCACAAGAGCAATTTCCTAACAAGTTTCCAAAAATCTGTTATTGGGAAACTGACATTAAACCTATTGTTTGCTGCGAACTGACAGATGATGTCGATTCTACTCCTCCCAATGACAATGTCCAACAGTTTGGTAAATTTAACAGATGAAGATAATTTTCACATCTTTAAATAGCTATATGAATGATTATTTTAGTGTTAATTATAGAATTAAAGATGTTATATTAAATTATTTTCCTAATTATGTTATTGTGTAGAGTGTGGTAAAAGAAATATCAGAGAAAAAAGACAGATATCTCGCAATCCCTATATAGCGGGAGGTGAATCCGCAAAACCGGGAGCATGGCCATGGATGGTGAGCAATCTCAAATTTAATATGTAATATCTAGTTTTTAAAGGTAACTGAAGAGATTTCTTTAAATTGTTATGTAAAAACATAATCTTTTTGTTTTTAATTATCTGTTCTATGGAAACTAGAGGGTCTGTGTGTATTTTTCTTTCCAATCATCGATCCTAAAATCAGATTGGCCAAATGGTGTGAGAATCTGATATATTTGGGTTGGGGCACGGATGAAAAATTCTTGATTTACAATCTGAATACTTCTCACCAGTGGCAGAGTATAAAACCACTGAACACTGGTTATTGATCGCGTGTTCGCTCCTCATCAATGGTCTGGCTACGTGCAGCATTATGGGTTTTCGACAACTGTCTAAAACCGGGTGCATTCTAGAGGTCCAAGATGGAATCTGAGCGCACGAATGAATGGATATTTGCTTGTTCCTGTAGGGTTTGCATTACATTGGCTTCTATGTTTTTGTGTTGATTGGCTCCATTGCGAGTCAGTCCTATATAATGATCATATCGTTAGTCTGCGATGTGTAACCAAAATATCAGATACAGTTGATAATAGTATTTCTTATATCTCTCCTTATATAATGCTTTCTATTTCAGGCAGCAATATTAACACGTAATTTGGGACAAGAGGGGTTCTTATGTGGAGGAACCATTATTTCTTCATTTTACATACTTACAGCTGCACATTGCTTCGGAGGACGTGGAGGAAAGTGAGTAATACATAAAAAGATTTCGGTTTTTTTAGCAATTCCAATTGTTATACATATTACTATATGAAAAATTTGTCCAAATTTAGAGTCCCAAACGTGGTTCGTTACATTATTCGAGTAGGGAGCACATTCAGTTTTAATGGGACAGCATATACTATTGAGGAAATAATGAAACATCCCAGTTATGGAGACAGGAAGCATTACAACGATATTGCTCTGATAAAGGTGAACAATGAAATCCAATTTAATAGATGGGTACAACCAATTTGTCTTCCTCCTACCAGTTTAGCATCGGCAACTTTGATGGGCATTCCTGTTACTGTAATCGGATGGGGCGATCAGACTTTTGGTAAGTCAATATTCTTGTTCTAGCTTCGTTAAGATACTTTGAGATTAACATTATTTTAAATTTAGGAGGAATAAGGACCCCAGAGTTACGCCAAGTTACAGTTTCGGTAATGAGTAGAACCCTTTGCAATAGCTCATATTCTCGTTTAAGAGATTCTAGTATCGACAGAGGAATTACAGATCAGTTTATCTGTGCTGGGGTGGAAGCAGGCGGTAAAGATGCTTGTCAGGTATGTGTTCATTGTTTTCATTGTCAAATATGCTTTGATCTTCAATATCATTGAAATCAACTGATGTACTGAATGGATATATTTTTAGGCCGATTCGGGTGGACCATTGATGATGGATAGAAATGGATGGACGATTGTTGGCGTTGTATCATTCGGATATTCATGTGCCAAACCTAATTTTCCTGGTGTATACACAAAAGTGACTTCGTATCTAAATTGGATTCATGAAAATTCTGATTTATAATTTTAAATATGTTTTGTTAAGTACAATTCTTCAGGAATTTGGTTTTATTAATAAATTATTTTCATTGTGAAATTAGCCTGAAATTGTATGTTCTTATTTTGCTATTGTATTCTTATTTTTACTCTTTTCACACCGTAGGCAGTAACAGGGTCTTTTACTATGACTATTATGGGTTTGATCAGGACTACAATAAAGATAGTCAAGGTGATGTCTTACCACGTGGCCACACCTCAGGTTCGTTTTACCAATGGTCTCCAACTTATTCGAATAACTCGATTGTAGAAATATCTGAGTTCATCAGGACATGACCCTGGATCCCGTAATGGTTTGTTGGTGTCTTTACCTATTTGGCCATCTGGCAATCCGAAAATTTCGTGTTGAAGCCAGAACCTATGACCTTTTAGAACATTAATTAATCTACTGCAATACAGGACAGCTTTATACCTGAATACTAAATACGACAACGGATAAGTATTATCAGAATGAGTCCGAATAAATGGAGTTTGAATATGAATTGCTCTGTACATAAAGGCCATTTTTTGACCTTGCATGGCTCACACCAACTTAATTCTCCCTTGGCAGATGGATGCCCTGTGTACAGTCTCCCTGTTGGCTGATGTCCTTACGTGTTGCTGCAAATGAACGATACACTTAAAGCTTAACACGAAACGGTGTAAAATAAAAATTTAACGTTACCGTGAATGAACGAATGAAGATTTCATTAAAGTACAAAACAAATTTTTAATCATTCTACAACATATTTAAGTCTTCACTTTTAAAAAAGTCTTCAGTTTTCTATAGGAAATTCGAAATCTGAAAGATTTGAAATTAGCTAAATTAACTATACACATTTATATTCATAATTTAAACTAATTACCTGGTATAAAATCATGAATAATATCAAAATGGTCATAAACGTTAAGCGCATTAAAGATATTGACGGCATCTTCATCTTCGATAGTATCCATTGTTTCGTATAGATCCGAGATAACTTTTACAAAATATGGCGACTTATCACTGATAAGTTTATTCTGTAACTTTCTGAACAAGAAATAAACCTCCTCCTCTTCTTCTATAAAGATTACATGTTTTAAGTTTCATAAATTAATTAGTAAAAGTACTAAGAATACCACTTACCAGACAAGAGAAAGACACAAAGTTTCATGTGATGGAAGAAAGTCATCAATTCTACGTTTTTAAAATACATAAAGAAAGAGCGCAGAGAGTGAACATAGTCAGAAAATAATTGAAAAGTTTCCTGCTCAACATTACTCTTAAACTGTTCTTGAATATCAAAATCTAGGAATTCGTGCAATTCTTCGTAAAGGAATGCAAAGTCAATCAAAACTAATTTGCATAATTTTTTCCTGATGAGTTCCACCTGAATACTTTTGCTAATTAGTACGTTTAAAATGAAATTAATTAGATTTAGAGGTCCGTACTTACAAATGTAGCAGCAGGCAATGTGTACCAAAGGATGTTATTCAGTACCAGTTCAGCATTTTGCAATATCAGGTTGTCTAGATATAATTTCAATCGTATGTGTTTTGCCTTGCGATGGAATAAGTCGGAGAAAATTATCTGTAATGAATGTAGGTAAATTGATTCATTAAAGGATTGTATAAAGGATGATGAACAGATTATCCACAAAAAATAAAGAGCATCGTGGTAGAATTACAACGCGAATTAAATTAGACACGGGTAGCTTATCCTGAAGTTTAGTTACACAGCTGTGGCCTAATGAGTAAAACCACTAAACATAATCGCGCCTCACCAAAGTGGAGTATTTCGNAAAGTGCACACTACACTAGTAGTCGAGTGGGTAACACCATTGAACACAGGTAATTGGTAGTGGGTTCGCACCTGACTAAAATCTGGTGGTGTTTTTTGGGTTTCCTTGAGGGAAACTCAAAAAAACACTACCAAACAGTAGCTTTTATATTTAAGTACACTACACTTGCTCTTCCTGTAGTTTCATGCTCGACGTTCCAAACGCCATCGTCAAACTTCTAGGCTTACAGGAAGGCGGCGCTGAACGTCCGACGTTCACGTTTTTGCGATGAAAACGTCGCCCGCAACCTGTCTACTGGTATCATTTTAGATACGTCTAGTATGAATTTGTATTCATATATTAACGGAAGCATAGAATAGTTATTAATGAACACTAAGAAATTGTTACTTCAGTAGCACAACAGTTGTATTGTTAGTATTCGTGGACATAGTTTAATTAAATAATACACTATACAATTATTGTGTAGTGTATTATTTTTACAGTAGTTTACTGCCAGCTCACTAAGTGACAAGAAACATATTTTATGTATTTATTTTATTAAAAAAATATCCCGATTTACTGTGCTAAAGTTAAGACAATTTTAAATTAAATTTAGTAAATACATGCTGAGGTAATCCCGAAAGTAGAACCAGGAAAAGTCCGAGAAACCGGTTGTTATACTGGAAAGAAGTTGTTTGTAAATGTGCAAGGTAAAATTGTAAGTAAAAACTATTCTTTTATAGTACAGTAACCTAATTTTTGAACGGATTTATAGCGTGGTGAACGTTTAAAGGTCATAAATATAGATACACTAAGAATTTATTCTATAAATGATTGTTTCAACCATTAGATTGCTGTGTATTACCACTACTGACCTCACTTCACCTTGCTTTTTATGTGATTTTTCACGTTGAGAACTAAGGATGAAGTACAAGTCGACCCCCGTATAACACTGTTGATTTTTCCGTTTTATATGAATTTCATGTTGTACGAGTCAGTTAGATTTTACAAATACATGAGCCGTTCACAGCCCAGCACACGTATTTGTAAAATCTAAGTGACTCGTACAACATGGAATTCATATAAAACGGAAAAATCAACAGTGTTATACGGGGGTCGACTGGTAAAATGACATCAAACGTAAAAAATTCTGATGTTATTTTACGTATGTTACGACGAGAATTGTTACGTCATTTGTTACGTAATTTATAACTTAAAACATGTACTGTACATGAGTAATTTTTCTCATCTTGCATCTACAAAGGTATACAAAGAAACATAAAATTCGTATTATATAATTCACGATCATTGTTTCCCGTGTGACTATGTGAAATTTTCGTTTATTTCTAATAAAAGTGGGAAAAAAATTATTTTCCTTTTTCGGAAATAAGTGATGAAAGATACTGTAATACTTATAAACATTACAAAACCAGTTTCATGTGGATAAATAATTATTAATGAGAGAAGAAGGTTGAGTTGAAGGATTTATTAATATGTAAATTATATTAAATCGTGACTGAGTTTAGGTAACAAGTAACCCGTTTCAACTGTCATTGGCTTACTTATTTACTACCCACACGCGCTATTTCTAGTTGCAAAATATTGCAAGCTACTCATGCAAATTAATAAATGCTGTATTAATTGAGCAGAAAACTATATTGAGTATTGATATGTAGCAATATAAAATACGTAATTCTTAGCATAGCCAACAATGGAGTCGATTGAGTGGTGAGGATATCCGGGGAAGACGACAACTATAAAATTTCTGAGGTTCTTTGACTGGATTCGATACTAGACTCTGAACACTGAGAACTGCCATGGAGTTTTCCGGGTTTTCTCCATGTTGATGACTCCTGAGTAGAGACCAGTTTCCCATAAAAGTCCTCCCAGAAGTCATTCTTTCCCCGCGCGCAATTAGGCCATTCTATAAGGCCAGCTAGCGATCACCCACAAGTTTTTCGGAGTAAAGGTGTATAGCCATAAGACTCAATATGAACTACCATCTACTGAAAAAAAAAGATGGATTCGATTTCGGTAGGCAGGTAGACGCCTGAATCGCCTCGGCCATCAAGCCGGTACTGTAAGTGTTTAATTAAATTGAACAATTAAACTACTAGAAACCACTGAACACTGAAAGTTTTGTCGTGGATTCGTGCATGATTTAGGGCTAACTGAACATATAAGGGGACTTCCCGCTTCTCCGAATAGCGATGAACAACACGTATTTAGCTTGTTTAGTTTACATATAAATGTGAAATTACTCGTGTTATTTGTAACCTTTATTTGTAACTTTCCACAGATTGAAATTTAATAGGAATGGAAGGAAACTTGTATTACTTAGGAAATAATACCAAAAATATTTTATTTGCGGGAAAAAAGGTGTAGAAAAAAAGGAAGCGCGATATTACTCCATCCTGATTGATAATGGCTTTCGTGGAAAAAAAACCAGTTCTGTCAAGTTATGTGATTGTTATGAAGCGACATTTACGTTTAATTGATTACGTTAATGATAGCGGGCGATAGACGACGTCACGGATCGTTACCTTTTTAAGTCGAAAAAAATTAGATAATTTTATTAATAAACTTGAAAGTAGTAAGTACTATATTTTATTGTATTCTATATTATATTTAAAAGCTTAAAACTGCACGATTTTATTTAAAATTAACAATTCTTTTGTATATTTAATTCGCAATGAGCCCGGACCCTTGTATCGATTGCATGGCACGTTGCCACATCGCCACTCTTTATTTTTAATTTATGAAATTTTGAATGTCTTCAAATTATATTATTATTAAATTATTTAAAATAGAAAAAAATAATCTGGTATTTTGCGTCAATAAGCTTAAATTCGTTAGATTTTATTTTTATAAAGCATATATAAGCTTTAAAATTTTATTTCCGCTAGAGGGAAAAGGTCGTGTTTTTTTATCGTTTGCGTTTAGTCTTTATGTAAAAAATTAGAAGTATTGGAGTGTATTTTGTAAACTTATATTTTTATAAAGTTATGAAAAAATTAGATTATGATTACTTATAATTAATTCACTGCTTATACAGTAAAAATTTGTAAAATGTTTTAATTATTATTGAATGTCACTGAATTTTATCCACCAGAGGGATAAGAATGTATCCGTTTCCGCTTAGTATTATTTCTGGAAATAATTTATTATTATTTTAATTTAAATCCTATAAAATTTGGACTTAATTTAGAAAAATTATCTGAGTTAGATGTTACATTTATTTTTATTTTTTAAATTAAACATATTTTAAACAGGAACAGTAGTAATCGGAAGTCGCTGCGATTTTATCCCTCTACCGGCAAATTATAAAATATGAAATTTATAATATAAATATTTAAATTGGAAGATTAATGTAAAATAGTTTAAATGAAATTTCTGTTAAGTCAACATAAGACATTTTCCATTAATAAACGAGAATATTATATCAGCAATGGCGTCACGTCTGATGCTATTGACGAAATGCATACTGTGATGTCATGAGTGACGTAATTTTCTCATTTGCATTCAATCGCAGCGAGACGCATTTACTTTTACGATTAACTGGAAGAAAATCTTTATTTTTGGTAGCGATTGCGACTGAAATTATCGCGATTATGTGGCGATTTTCTTACATATCAAAGATTATGGCACCTACTATGCAAATACATTGCATTTGGAAGTATTCCATGAATTTATAGACCGCGTAAACCAAAAATGGGCCATACAAGATCTGTAATAGTTCAAGAACTAATTCATAACCACTGGATAGAAGTTACTTGATAAATTATGTATTTTATTTAAAGTTTGTTTGTGACATTGCTGTATGGTAACGCGTCTAATGTGCTGATCCTGGTTATTCTGTAATTTATTATATCAATGAGAATCGAGGCATCCCCATCACTCATCTATGCTGGTGAATATCATTGTGGGTCAGTAATAAGGCTTTTTATTTTTTTACTGTTTTTCACCCAGTGGGCACTAAGAGGGCCTCCTATAGCAGGCCCATTATGAGTTCGGCGAGGCCCACAATGGGACGACCTAGTGGGGGCCCGACATATCTGAATGGACCACCCCCGAAGAATTCCTGGGGATTCTTTGACCTGTCTGGATTCGATCCCGGGTCTCCCAGAGCGGTAGGCTGCCATCTTGACCGCTTGGCTATCTGGCCTCATGTAATAACTTTCTTTGGCACCTTCTTTGGCATATGCCAAAGAAGGTGCTTCCCAGGAGGTTTCTCTATGAGAAACTTGCCTCTATTTGAGTGTTAGACACGTAAAGAAAATTCGGAAAACTTCACGTTAGTTAGCCGCAAATTCAGGCCAGATCAACTGGTCGGCTGACGTGGAATTTTTCGTATCTAACACCTAAAAACAGATAAGTTTTCCATTGAAAATTCTTCCAGAAGGCATTCTCCTTTGACAAATTTCCTTATAAATTGCGTTGCATTATCCCGTCAATTCAGTCCCATCAAATCACTGAAAATGTTTACAAAACAATTTATTCAAACAATAAAGTGCACTGTAGTAAGGATTTGCAAGTCTTGCATTATCTATTGAAGTGTCCGGTTCCACGGCATGAGAATAATACGTTAGTGTCGTTCAGTAAACATAAATAATATTTATTTAAATTAGTTGTTTTTTGTTTAGTTATGTAAATATAATTTATTTTTACAGTTTAACATGCTGATCGCTAGGATATTTGGTGTTTTAATTTCAAATTTTGCGATATTCTTCTGCTTAAATGCTCAGAGAACAAGAAGACCACTCAGTAAGTATTTACTCGCAGGTTTCTTAATTATGTATTATTAAATTTGTTGAATTATGTGAATTGTCTTTTAATGAGACGAAGGTTAAAAAATTTTACTACTACAGTAGAGCGTCGATTATCCGAACCAATTGGGGACTGGGGTTGTTCGGAAGATCGATGTTTCGGATAACC